GTGAGTACAATTACATTCGGTAAAAACAAGAGAAAAAAAAGTTGAAAAAATTATCGTATTTCATTGCATTAGATAAAAGAATTTGTGAGCTTGACTGGAGATTTCAAGTGTGAGGCAAGTAAGGAACTTATTTTTATCAGGCAACTTAATGTATATGCATTATTTTTATTATCTTATGGCCCTTGGTATGAATGATGGATATAGCGTTTATCATTAACATCCAATGTTACTACTGTCATATTTTTTAATCTTCCATTATCATCGCCATCACCATCATTACTGTTGTTTTAGTCACCATTATTGATAATAATAATTGCTATGATCACTGTTATTATCATTATCAGTGTTGTTGTTGGTATTATAACTTGTCATTGTAGTACTCTAGTTATGCATATTGTCATTGGCATTGTTGTTATGATTGTCGTTGTTGCAGTTGCTGTCACTTTATTTTTTTGTTACTGCCATGATGATCATTATCATTCATAATCATCATCACCATCATTAGCAGCAGCAGCATCACCATCATCATTAATATTGTTATTATCTTCTTTATCATTAATAATAATAATATTATTATTATTGTTATTATCATTATTATTATGTAGTTATTTTGTTGTTGTTGTCGTCGTTATTTTACTTTTATTATTATTATTATTATTATTATTATTATTATTATTATTATTATTATCATTATTATATTACTACTACTACTACTACAATTACTACTAATACTGCTGCTGACGTTATTATTATGGCTATTATTGTTATGATTCTTGCTTTATTAATACCATTACCATAAATCTTGTGCTGCATCGCCAGTGCCACTTTTATTGCTAATTTTTTGCTCTTATCTTTACTTTTTTCGGATGAATATTCTTCCCTGTAAACCTCGCTGAAAGCAGTGTTGAGATAAAATAAATGCTTTATTTATGTGAAGATTGCTTTAATCGTTGTTCCATATTCCTTCTCTCTCTCTCTCTTTCTCTCTCTCTCTCTCTCTCTCTCTCTCTCTCTCTCTCTCTCTCTCTCTCTCTCTCTCTCTCTCTCTCTCTCTCTCTCTCTCTCTCTCTCTCTTCCCCCCTTCATCACAGCCACAGAAAAAAACATAATTAGAACAAACATCAAAATAAAATACGATAGAATGAAGTAGGGACAAACAACAGCATACCCAAAGGAATGAACATGATGTAGCATAATGATGAACTCAAGCCTATGGCCGAGTCGCCGATGCCTGCTCTGCTGTGTGGGGGGAGGGGCCTGGGGAGGAAACGCCGTCTGGGGGAAGGGTTTTGGGGAAATCGCCTGGGGAAAAGAACCTGAGGAGGGGAACTTGTCTGGGGGAAACCTTTCTCGCGAGGGGGGGAAGGGGACAGCCGTCGAAGGGAAATCTTCGGGGGGGGGGGGTCTAGGGGGGAGTTGTTTAGGGGAAACTGTTTAGGAGACTGTGTAGGGAGAGGGAAATGTCAAGTGGAAGTTTTCTTGGAGGAAGAGCTACCAGAATGAAGTTGTCTGGAGGAGGGGAGACTGTATGGGGTAAATTCTACGGAAGTTCCCTGCGTCCCGTCTTTTAGAACAGTAGCCACTTCTGTGGCAATGCCCTAAATGGTAAATAAAATTGCCATTTATATGATTATATGACGTTTCATAGTTATGCTTTACAGCTCAGGGGTGCCCTCCCCCCGTACCCCTTTACATAAAGTGCAATAATGTTTTATTCTGATTGATTATGTGAGGATAATGTTGATCATAATAATATTACAAAAGTGCGATAAGAACGATTGCAGGAGAACATAATTACAGCATTCCTCGAACAACAAAAAGTGAAAATATCAACAATAAATTGATAACGAAAAAGAATGCAGTTAGCGGTGCTCTTTCACGCTGACGAAAACTAACGAAATGTATCTAACAATAATGGTTATGATAAAAAACAACTAAAGCAACGGATTAGAAAGAAGATAAAAGCACCGAAGTCGATGGAGCTTCGAACGGACGGCGCGAAGCTGACCGTCAATGAGACCTTGTCAAGAACGTGGGAACGAATTCTCGGAGGAGCTTTTGCCGACTTAAGATTAGTCTATCTCTGAGAGGGTAGGTCATGGTGTTGCTCGACTGGCGTGTTTGTGTCGAGAGAGCGTTGTGGCTTTAAGCAAACGTATCTGGCACGTACACACACGCACACTTACATGCACGTACATAGAGAGAGAGAGAGAGAGAGAGAGAGAGAGAGAGAGCGAGAGAGAGAGAGAGAGAGAATGTGACTCGCCTATCAAGCGCAATATTTCTCTTGCACTTCAGGGACTCTAGAAATGAAGTCAACTGATGCCTGACTAATATGGCGGAGGACATGAGCCAAAGCCGCCCACCTAAAAAATTGATAATTACAATAATGAGGATAATGATGATAATAGCGATAATGATGATAATAGTATTGATAATAATAACACCAATGATCATAATAATAAGTAAACTCAAGGCGGAACTTGAAAGCAATTTTTAATTTCCCGGGCCCACACTTTCACAATAACCCATGGTAGATACGCGCGCGTGCGGATGAATATTTCGGGCTATAAGTTTCTTTACTGCAGATGATAATAACTACGCAAGCTGTGCACAATAATAATAAAAAAAAATGCCTTGTACATTATTCTTAACAAGTATCCGGCTACTATTCTCGCGGGACACACGTTCAAGATGAAAATTCTACGTGTCTGCGCATACAGCATGTTTCCGTGTATTGCCTTCTTCATCTTGTTCTCTTGTTATCAATATTCAGATCTGAAAAGTTCCCTGGACGATCCTAATCTGTGTACTGTTTTCTTCATATCTGCTCTGCCGTTTTTACTCTATATCTCTATATCCAGATCTGGAATGTTCTATCGGTGATTCTAATATGTTTAATAAGACTGTACAACTAGAAAAAAAATGTAGTTAACAGAAGCTCAACAGTATTTACATATTTGTGGTTGTTTACTGTACCTGGAGTAAGTGTGAAGCAGATGTGTTTTCACCGTCACGGTCTCTCGGTCCTTTTGCAACGCCCAGCTTGCTTAACATTGCGCTCCGTTGACATAAGGAGAGATGCTTGGGAAAGAAATCAAAACTAGTGAAAAAGTGTTGATAGATATAAAGAAAAATAAGAAATAGAGAGAGAGGGGGGGGAGGGAGCACAGAGGGAGAGAGAGAGAGAGAGAGAGAGAGAGAGAGAGAGAGAGAGAGAGAGAGAGAGAGAGAGAGAGAGAGAGAGAGAGCTAGAGAGAGAGAGACAGAGCTAGAGAGAGAGAAACAGAGAGACAGAGAGAGAGAGAGAGAGAGAGAGAGAGAGAGAGAGAGAGACGTGCACTTACAGAGGAAAATGAACAAACCCAAAATTGACATCCAAAGGTTCCCAAAATACACGTGGCCTGTTAATTATGGTCTTGCATACAAGCTCTCATGGTCAGATGAAAACTAGGAAGAATAGATATTACAAATATTGAGATTATACAAGTTGCTTCAATTTATCCTGTATTGCTTATCACAATAACTTACTAAACCCATCACACACGAACTTTTACAAACCAATACCAGTATCCTTAATCGAAATCAACTTTAGTTTCATATTCAGAATAAAAAACCCTCGTATTTCACTAAGGTTACCGGTTAAAAGCCGATTAGTACCCGGTCCTCCCGTGCGCAAACGAAACCTCCAGCACGACCTTTAGATTTCGAAAGGAGTAAAACTCACAGAGGTGGAGTTCGCTGGTCTCGTTTGTTTAGTGAGACAGAACAAACACGGATTTACGTAGGTGCCGGTTGATGACGTCACTAGCTCAGGTGCACTGAACATGGAGGGAAAGGGAAAGGAGCGAGGGAGGGGGGGAGAGAGGGAGGAAGGGAGTGGGAGAAAGGGGGAGCGGGGAATTGGCCGTGTAGGGACGAGGTGTGAGGGAAATGGTGGCAGAGGGAGCGAGGAGCTATGGGAAAAAGAAAAAGAGCAAGAAACAGGGAGAGGGAGAGGGGAAGAAGGAAAGACGGAGGGGTGAGGGAAGGAGGGAGGGAGACGGAGGGAGTGTGCGAAAGAGTGAGGGAGAGAGGGAAAGATAAAGGAGTAGAAAGAAATTCAGATAAATGAAACAGAACATTTAATCATTAAAGCCACAGCTTATCTCCGGGCACATAAATTTGACGTTGCTTTAGTGCCCGTCGTTATGTGATTGTAATGAAGTTCTCAAGATTTTAGGTTACCCTTTCACAACTGACAAAGTCCGAAGATCCAGGTCGCAGTCTCGCGTTTCGAAATAATATCAAATGGTATGCTAACGTTAATTTAGTAATGATATAGACAACAATAACAATACCAGTAATAAAAATGGTCACTGTGACTACAGCAGTTATAATGCCTAAGTAGATAATAAACATAGTTTTATTCACCAGCGGAACATGCTGATGAGATTTGTGCTTATGGGAATTCCATCATGGGCGGCGTTATGGGTTCGTGAAATGTTTGTTATTATTATTTTGTTATTACTAAGTGTGTTGTTATTATTGCAAGTGTTGTTACCAAAACCTGTATGTTATTGTGTGTGTTGTTATTATGTGGGTTCGTGAGACGTGTATGTTATTATTAGTGAGTAAGCCTGGTCTTCCCTGTGCGAAGCCAAGGTCAGTGGGTGTGGGTTGTTCGGAATGTCAATCGCTAGATCCGAGGCCTTTGTAGACCTACTGACTACAACGGAAACACACACACAGAGGCGCGCGCAGACATATACGTGTGTGTGTATGTGTATACATGCGTGTGTTTTGTGTGTGTGCGTATATGTATGCGTGCGTGTGTGTGTATGTGTGTATGTACGTATGTGTATGTGTGTGTGTGTGTGTGTGTGTGTGTGTGTGTGTGTGTGTGTGTGTGTGTGTGTGTGTGTGTGTGTGTGTGTGTGTGTGTGTGTGTATGTGTGTGTGTGTGTGTGTAAGTGTGTGTGTGTGTGTGTGTGTGTGTGTGTGTGTGTGTGTGTGTGTGT